CAACCTATCTTTGTGAGCTTCTCGCGAGTATCGGTCCTCGATTGGCATTAAGGTGACAAGTAGTTATCTCCATCGACAAAAACCTTGCGTCTGGCGGACATGATGATGAGGACTGACTTCATCCATTCATTCATTTTATCTGGAGGCTAATGCTGAGATAAGCGAGGACCGATACTCGCGAGAAGCTCACAAAGATAGGTTGTGCTATAACGTGTCCATTCAAAATGAGAAACGGTCTAATAAGCTACCCGGAGGCAGAGTGGGTAGTATGCTTGGGTTCTAGCAGTGGGGTCCGGGTTCGATCCCCAATTGAGTCGGTGGATTCACACTGTTGAGAAGACCCAACCAGGTCGAAACAGCTATACAGCGCTTCCTAGCTTTTCAGCTCACACCTCATTTACACAACGAATTCATCATACAATAGTACCGTAGTTCACGATCTATAGTAAACCATTCTCTGATATTCAAGTTCTGTTCACTCAACCGGCAATCTTGTAGTAGCTTGGTTTTCTGCCCATGTCCATGTTCCGGCTCTCTTCAACTTTGCCGTTGATGACGTCCTCTACAAAGTAGTACTTAACATTACGAACTCTAGCGCCGGGATCATCCCTGGTGAGAGAGAGCCGCACACTTAAAGTATGCCGATAACATTACCCCGCCGGGTGATAATACAGAGGGAACGCAAGACGCGCTAAAGTACATGGTCCCTAAGCTCACTCTGTCCGACGTGCTCCACGGACCTTTTAAGTGGAAGAACTACCGCTACAACACTGACAGGAGCCTGTCTTCACGTTTATTTTGGATACTGGGCGTGATCGCAGGCAATTTCTACCTCGGCTGGGATGCATGTGGGTGAAAAGATCTACCAAGACGTAATTAGCATTTCTTAATCTGCAGTATATCTGGAGAGGCGCGATATATCCTCTTCATTGTATGGGCAGCTTTATAGCGTAACGGTTTGCGATACGACTGTGAAACTTGATCATGACCAATGATAACCTGTTTCCGACAACGGTCTTCTGCGCAGCGTCCCCCACCTACGGTAGGAGTATTGTGTAGGTGAAAATGAGGTCGGGCATTTTAGGGACACACGATCTTTCGGCAAACACGAATATTTGATCGTACTGTCTGAGGTGGCTGGAACATACCCCATGAAAGCCCAAGTAACCTTTGCCCAATCGTTTATAATCTGCAGATCTTAGATCAGATTGGAATGAAAAGTAAGGTGGGCAAGGTATGACATAGCGTAAATGACTAAAGAAATTGCGTTCGGATTTCACTCCCGTCTTGCAGGTTGGAGTCCCCCATGCCCAGATTGTTGTCGGCTAGAGACTCTATGAAATGTGACATTGAACAAAAGCCAGTGGCGTGTATATCGTCCTCGCGACCTATTGAGATTGAGTGAGAAGTATTTAAGTAACACTGGAACTTTGGCTTCATGGTATTTGTATTTTTGTTACTCCCTGTCAGTTAACTACCTCTGTCCTGTCCCTCAACGGAAAAGCTGAGGAAGGAATCAGCTAACACCAGACTGTTTCGTGCCTCGGTCAGTGTTGGCATTTTACTACACTCTCGAGACAAGGTGTATAACACTAGAATGTGTTATTGCGTGTTCGAGATCTGAAAAATTAGTAGGGCAAACAAGCAAAATGTTTTGTAGCCCCTCCTCTCTGATAGCAACATCAAGAAGCAATGTGAATGGCTCATGTCATTACCTGTAGATCCTCACGTACTCCATTGAACGCATTCAACGTTGCGCATAGAACCGAACCAGGGATATCCACCGCACCGGTAGGGCCATCAGTAGTAGTTGTCGGATTTGAAAGCACTTTGTCCACATCGAGTTCGGCCGACCGGAGATAGTTAGTCCGCGTGACTAGACAATACACTTCCGAGATGAAAGACACCGGAAGATAGACCAATAGGTTTCGGTTGATAATTGAATCGATGAAAGATTGCTGGAATCAGATAACATGAACACGTTGGATGACATAGATGGTTGGAATGGATACCTATGGGTTTTAATGGGCAAAATACGTTCAACAGCCATGGAAAATGCAACTTATCAAACTCGAAAACAATGAATGCAAACCGCTGACTGTTGGAGATCTGAACCTAACTTTCCGACCGAACAGAAGTAGAACTCAGTCGTTGAGATGTGCTTGTGTTCTATCAGATTAACAGGTTCTAAAAAAAGTATACGTCAAGACTGGAAAAGCCGAGGGATGGGGGTTAAATAATCACGGGAAACACTGATTCTCAGATTATCCGTTATTGAGGTTTCTGTGGTTTCTTGGCCTCCAATGTCTGAATTTCATTGCTATGTACTAGATATTTCAGTTCTTTTCTTTTGCAGGATCCTGTACTGTATGTTCGCCCGGTTTGAAGCAAACCGAAACCTATTAATAATACTACCAGTAGGACTACTAATAGCGATATAAATCCACGAGACTACTGTCGGACTGGGGAGAATTGTTTGTTTTAAGAATAATATGAGTGGTGGGTAAACCGGATTGCATAGAACGAAACGCACAATCAGGACTCAGTTTCTGGAATAGCTCTAGATCTGTAGTCAAGCAGTTTGCCAATCTGTTCACGTCTTTTACTTCGAGATGTTCCGTTAATTTCCTCAATTGCTAGAATTCTTCAGCCGATATTTCATACTACTCAGATAGCATGAGTAGAACCTCACAACAGTGTTAATAATAATAATAACAGCAATAACGAGTGTCATAGAGTTAACGGTAGTGCTTATGACTAGGGTAATGGAAATCTGGATGATTAAATCGAATAGAAGACTAAAAAGAAAGATAAATATGGCTGTGCAGAACGGAATAAGTACGGAGAATTTGGGAAGCGAGGCACGGATCACTCAAATTCCATAATTAAACCAGCGGTCATACCCACACGGTTTGTATCTATTTCTTCCTAGATGTACTGAACGGGAATGGAAATAAAAACTGGCGATGCAAACTGTAGCAATCAAATCAATACAGATATGTTCAATGCAATGTACAGATTCTGAAATAAAATGCGGATACACAAAGACAAAAGATTGTATAACATGTTATCACATGAACAGTTACAGTTACATTCGGTTACACAGGATGGACAACCAGTAGCCCCAAAGGGGGAGAACCTGTGTTCACACGTGAACACGAAAGGAATGACTGTGGTCATAAATTTGACTAACCAGCGTTTCAGTTTGTACAACCATTGACCATGCACTTTCGTGCGCTGGTCTAGGTGGCTGTGTTTTGACAGCCCATTTGGATGAAAAGTAGGAAAAATACAGCAAAGATGAAAGTAGAGTCGAATGGAAATTGGAGAATTTTAGTGGACTGTTGCAAAGAAATTGAGAAGATGCACGAACGCCACCGTTTACGAGACTCAGCCATATCACTCAGTGTTTCTAACCATCGGTTACGAACATTCCGAGGTCCCCATCCTATGTGACCGAGTCTCCTGGCTAGGGTTTCCAGACCCTAGTACCAGGTCTTAGCTGGACCACCCTTGGCTTTATTCCACCCACTACCTGCCTCGGTGAACATCATAAAAAACCACAGGGAAACAGATCACAGCTGACGGTACGAACGGGAAAATCTCATTTTTATGGTGACGCATCTGTACTACAACGCACGGACACATTACAAGCAGAGAACGAAAAATTCAGCAGCGGAACGGGTGGGAATATTTTGAATATTTTACCTCATCCTGATCCGTCAGCTTCAAAGAACCTTGACTCGTATTGTAGAATCCGTGTAGACAAAGTCGCCAGTTCAAAGCCAGTGTCGCATAGCTCATCACGTAGATTGCATCCGCATTGAATATGGCCGACGGTGGGCCGAAACACGAGGATTCAGCGGTATTCGCTTGGGAACGATAGCGCTCGCAAACGGCTGACGGTTGATTGCACCCGGCAAGTGTAGGCCGTTGGTGGGAGGGTGGCCCAGGATGAATAACGCAGATTAGGTGGAACAACGAACACGTGCACCAAGAACAAAGTACATCTAATGGTCAAAAGTGCATTACATTAGAATCACGAAGAAACTTGTTTGTAAAAGCAAATCTTCATAATATCTTGACATATTTTCACAATGTGTCGCACGTTCTCTCCGAATTTCACTGAAATCCCGTTGTAACGTTGGGATAGACCATACAATCGGACTAGCCTGAACCATGACCCCTAACGATACGTGCGGCAGTACGGATTACGAACAGGAACCGTAGTGACCCGGTGAACAGTATACCAGTACGCCCGACTGCGGTACCCAGCGCAATTCCAGAAAAAAACCGGAAGAACGCCCTACGACAATAGTACGATCCCTGAACCCGACTAGAGAGAAGACGGAAGACAGGATTTCAGGCGCGGTTGTATATATTTGGCTCGATCCAAATAGGTGAAGGCTTTGGACAACTGGTCTGTTTATATAGAGCTTTGGAACCAACGAGTAATGAATGGCCTTGAAAATTAGCTTGAAAGTAGAGAGTCATGAAGGAATGGATCAATCAGGATCGAATATGGCCAGCGGTGTTGTCTGAGGTTTTTTCGGTGCCAAAATTCGGAAATTTAAATTTTGTAAAAACAATTAGGAAAATCAGGAGAAAATAGTTACTTTTATAAGGAACAATGGGCTTTTTCACATCAAATCCATCAAGCAGTTCACTTCGTACAACCTTGCAGATTGTTCCCCATGATAAAACAGACGAGGTATCCGACTGGATACCAATCACAGTTTGTGTTAACTGATATGTGCCCAGTGAGATTGGGAAAGCAAATCTTAGACGTTTCAGCTTGACCTAAACGAATAAAAATTTGGATTTAATCAATTTTTCGTATGATAACTGATATTACGAACACCTAGATAATGACAAACAAACGACGACCTATCATTCTGAAAAAGAAGTGTGCAGGTAGCCTAGTGACCTTTGAGCTGTGTTCAGTTTGTTGAGGGGACTATCTTTTCTTGAATTTATTTCGCTCCTGCGGTCGATCATCTTCTCCCATGCATCTAATTTTTCTCCAACAAATTGTCTTTGTTTGACGAAAATAATTTCCCAATCCGGGCGATAGTGGCCCGGTAGTAACGTCACGAAGTTATCACTTCGAGAGTACGTGCGTTTGAATCCGATCGCCACCGCGAGACTTCCCCTATTGTATATTGTACGGCAGCCCTCTGATTGGCCGCTTACATCTTTCCTGAAAATCTTTGTATATTCAATACAAAAAATGAAAAGATCCATTTCATCCGTTCCATTTTTCTCCTGCTTTTCCTTGTCACAATAGGCTACCGTATTACAAACAGGGTATTGAGAACCATAAGATTCATTCTATTGACTCACAAATTCAGCAAACGGGATGTAAAGGGCTACCAGGGAACGTATAAAACCGGAGATAAGGTAGCGACGGTGAGAGACGGAGAGGTATATGTCGACCGATTTCACATGATGTTCGATCCAAACTTCACGAGTAGTCTCGAAAGGAGTGAACTCCCGCTTCCACATGCTCTATATGAGTTTGTATATGCACACATTCATGCTGGTTCGAGAAAATCCATATTAGTCGTGTCCCGAGTTTAGATTCTGGACTGTGGTTTGGAAAAGCATTCAAACACATGTGAGAGGGTTGGAGCATGTCCTGGGAGTCTAACACGGGGCGAATTAGGTCCGTGCATGCAACATGATTTAGCACACATAGAGGTAGCACGATAATCCACACAACCGATGAGCCCCGAGGTCAGAAGAATCAACTGTGCGACTATGGACGACTACGCAGAAACTAGCTCAAATAAAGGACTATCGAAGAGCTTCAGACGAAATGTTAGGCTATCCCAGTCACTAGGCCTACGTCTTGAAGTGGAAAACACTTCGATGGGTACAGTGTTCATACAAACAATTTATCGTTATCCGTGTCAAGGACAAGTCTAATCTTAATGGCAGCAAACCTATTGGTATCAATCACTCTTCGAGTATAAAGTAGACCTTAGAAGAGCGGGCTGGGTTTTGCATCGGTTGTATATGGGTACATCAAACCTTCACCATTCGAGAACCGTTAGGCCTGGCAGAGAGTAACGGTCATCGTTTTCTTCGACTTCCGTTTATGCACTATAAAAACCGTCATAACTTATACCGTATGATAGGGCAAAGATCATTTTTCTCTACAAAAGTCACTGTTTCGCCTTGCTTTCCGCAATTTTCTTAATTATTTTCATGAAATTTGAATTTCTGAATTCGTGCGCTGGAAAAACCTCAGACCACACCATAGAAAATAATTGATCCGGATAGGTTCGTTTTTTCAGAACCCTGTACTTTCGAGCTAATTTTGCTGGTCGGTCCCGAAGCTGCATATAAACAAATGAGTCACAGTCAGTCATCGTCTTTTGAGTCGAGCCAAATACACAACCTCATCCGGAGTCCTGTCTTCCGTCTTTTCTCTCCGGTCTGGTTCTGGGATTGTACTACTGTCACGGGGCGTTCTTCTGGTTCTTTTGGAAATTGTGCTGGGTACTGCAGTCTGAGCGTATTTGTATTACATGATCATTGGATCACTACCGTTTCTGCCTGTGATCTGTCCTATCGCAGATTTCGTTTGGCTCAAGATCCAAGCTAATCCGGTCCTACCATCCGTCCACTCATGTCACAATACCAAGAAATTACAGGAAAAGAACACTCATTTTCTTTTTTCACTGTTTTCTCGAAACTATCAAACGAAAAAAACTATCGGACAGACGTGTGAGAGAGCAAACTGACTCACTGAGACAAAACCGTGAAGAAAACTCGAGCAAAGAACGATCCAACTCGTCCATTGAGTTGCAATGAAACCATCGAGGCATGGCCCTCTGTAGAGCGGAAACAAACTCGCTAGCCAAACACTTCGATGTATTACGATGGTCCGGACCGCATGTGTTGTGTTCCGGTTCCTGAGCGGGAAATTTCGACCAAGGAATCTATCAAGCATTTTTATTCGCAGACAAGGAAATCATTCGTGGGAAAAAACATTGACATGGAAATGAATTACTAAAATTATTATTATTTGGGTATATATGCAAAAATTCCTTTGTTCCGAAGAGAAAAAGATTTTTCCTGTTAAGACGGTAAACACCCGAAGTAATTCAAATTGGTGATTCAGCCTAAGACGGTTAGTCTAACTATGCCAGGAGTTACCATGTGTAACCCATTAATAAGCATGTTCTTCTACACCGTCAGTCTGACCTGCGCGAGTGTGACTGGTAACCTTTGATCTTCACGTTAATTTTGCCTAACGGCTTGTTTTGGGTGTTTAAAAATTTATCATTGTCCTGATTGAACGTTTACGTGAATATTTGTACCTACAGCTGAAGAGATAACGTAAAACAGTTGAATTCCACCTGTTCTCTCTGCTGATGTTTTTCTTTCAATCTTATAAAATTCCGGAAGGGAAATGGACGTATGAAATTCACTCAATTGTGGTCAGTTCCGATCGCAGTTGACTATGTCATCGCGGACTTTGTGAGAACTGTTGCAATGCCCATGAAAACTGTTGTCATCATATGGAAATCCGTTGAGACATTCAACGAACTGGAGTTGGAAAAAAACTCATGAAGTTCATTATATAATAAATACACAAATAAATAATCTTGCCGGAATACCGCTTGTCGTTAGAATTGATGACTGTGTTGTTCCAGTACTAGAGAATAAAACGCATGCGTCGCATTCATTATTTGCATCTTGTAAAACATCCGGAATTTGGATCACTGTGATTATTTCCGACCAAACACGGAGTGAAAAATTGGTGCTCAGATCGTGAGAGTATGGACAACAAGAGTATGGACCCCGTTAATGATCGCTCCCTCCCCCTGCCCCAAACTCCGAAGTCGACATCGTCATTGTGAATGTGATCATACATGGTGAAAAAAGACAATAGCAATCAAATTGCACACTAACTTACAACTGAATGTACTTGTACTAGTAGCTCCTTGGTTGCGGATGACTCTTCATTCTTATCTGCTACACATTCTGTGAAGTCAAGGTTAGAAGAAGACAGAAAGAAAGCAAAAAATTTCAGCTAGACGATGAGAAGACAAAAGCACAACATGTTAAAATGAAGGAGGGGGGAGGGGACGGTGTCCAGGCAGAATGCACGGTTCATACAGATATAGGTAGCGCAAACGCACACCACAGCGCATACACAACCGTTTTCTCGCTCATCAGTTAAACACAGAGCGGCGACACTGTAGCTGCGATGCCGACAATCGGATCACGACTCACCTTTGGTCAACTGGACAAGTTGTGGCACAAGGAGCGCGGACAACCAAGGCTCCAGGCTTGAACCGACAGCCAAGCGTTCCAAAGTACTGAACAAACTGGCCATACAGTCCATACTACACTGAGCCAATGTGCCATCCCCGGAACAGCTACACTCGGCCAATGAATCGAGTAGACTGGAATGGTGTGTGTTGGGCGGAAAGGGGAGAGATAAACAGTTGCACAGGAACAAGTTTCACCCAGAAGCAAGATACATTTCTGTTTAGGAATCTCAAACAAAAAAAAAACAATCTGTGGTTTGGAACCAGTAGTCAGTATCAAGTTCAGAATGTTTATCCAATTTGACGTAGTCAAAACACAATGCGTTAAACCATCAGTTGTGATTGAATACAACTCCCATATTGCACGCAATCAAATAATGGGGCCACAATAACGGTCAGGGTATCTATCAATTGGTATTCAAACAAAAGAAATGTCTCATTTGGAACGAGCCTTCCGAATTCTCACACGTACATAGGATAGTTACTGGAACGGTCCAACAGTAAATGCGCATTCTCGTAGTTATCATACTGGAAAGACCAATGCGCTCCGACAGGTTTGGTTCATTTTTGACAGCTGGAAAAAACCGCCAATCACACCTGTTTGCGCACTACTCACAAACAAGAGTAGTACCTCACAACACTGTACCTGTTCAACTTCAAGTGAATCCGCCGTGACTTCACGTGAATCCAACCAATCGCACTCCACAAGATTGTTGCTATTTCGACCGTCAAAGGTCACCCATTGGACCGGGTCTGTCTAAACCCCGTCCAGTCCGAATCAACTCACTTCCCTGTAAACAAATAAAAGTACTT